GATCAATAGGAAGCACCGTTTACATAGCCGCTGAAAACAATCGAAAAACCAGTTACTAAATATTGAAATAGGCCCACTGTATTTGCAGAAGTTCCCTATTAATATTTGCATATCTGCATATTTAATATATTCTGTCGATATTATTTATCAGCAAGGCCTGTAGTACACTAATTTTTATGTTCAACATAAAAAAAAAGTTAAAAAAAATAAAACCCAAAAGCTAATTTAAAAGAAAAAACAATTAAAAATGTTACTACATGTGAATGTTACGGACTATAGTAACACATGTTTGTTGATCAAATTCTCACTTTAGTGACAACTGACTTCAAAAGTTTTGCATTATATACATTTATCAACCGTAATGAAGGACGTGCATGCTCATTTTCTTTAGAACTTTGATATTTTGTCAGGAAGTAATAAAAGTGTACGTAAAAAAGCAATTTTCTTCTTCACTCCCTGGAAAAGACCCCTTTTAATTAAATACATAGAAGCAAAAAAGAACAATCTAATTTCTTACAAATTATAGGCTAGCTAGATCTAGACATGCAACCATTGATCGCCGACCTAGTCTCTTTTTTTACAGCAATCTCATCAACTCTGTACAAACAATGAAATTTCACCAAGTATGCTATACAAATTTCAAGTTTCATTCAGATCTAGTTTCGTAGTACTAATTGGCTGGGTCTCTCAATATATTTTTATATTTAGACTGATTATACGGAAGCATAATGAGATATGTTCTCTAGCAAAGAATCCCATGGTTATCTATGGTTTATTAAAGTATCTGAGAATACAAGATTTAACAATAGTAAATCAAAATATAATATAGATCTCAGCTGGTAGTTATATTTTATGCTTTTGAATTTATACTTCAATATATTTTTATTATTATTATTTCTTGTTAATTCACATATTATTCAAATAATTCTTAACATTTTAGAGAGTTTAAGCTTGGATTGAAATCTCATAAAAAGTTATAAAGACCAAATATATCATTTTAAGTTGGAAACATAAAAAAGATGTTATATTTTTAGCTGCCACAACCACCACTACTACTACTACTACTACCACAACACACTTCCAACAACTACTACATCAGAGCCAACAACCACTACTACAGAACCAACCACCACAACTACAGAACCAACAACTCTGATGAATCATTTCAGCTACAAACTAATCCTCAATCCCAAAACATTACATACACTGTATCTTGATCATTTAGCTTTGTCGTAAAATGAAAAAATAAAAAGAATAATTTTAGAAATAAAAGAATTGCAAAAGCAAAGATTTGAAGTCATCATAAAAGATCTGAAGTATGTAATATACAATAATTTGATCTTATCCGTAACCTTTGATCTTTCAAAATATGCATGTTTGACATTCATAATATTTCATTGCAGAACCTTCAAGAGAACAAATTTATCTTCTGGAACATGCAAGCTAAATTAGTCTCATCTTAATTAAGGATCTTTTTTTAGGTCATGATAGGGACATCATTATAAAAATGGGTTTTCCCCTCTTGATATCTCATCCTATTAGGTAAAAATGCTTGCCCAACTCAAAACTTAGTTTAAACCTTGGAAAAATGATAATCCTAATGAAAACAGAGGACATCCAAATCCGAAACAGTAATTGGGAATTCTGCAGAAAAGATATTAGGAATTTTACCTGCACTGAGTTCCTAGCTCACCTGAGCTAAAAGCTGAAGTAAATTTTTCTGATCATCCTTTGTCCGTCTGTCAGCCTGTAAACTTTTCACTTTTCAACGTCTTCTCAAGAACCACTTGGCCAATTTTAACCAAATTTGTTACAAAGCATCCTTGGGGAAAGGGGAGTCAAAATTATTAAAATGAATGACCTAGTCCTCCTACAAAACGAGATAATCAAGATAAGACAAAAAATACGGGTTTTTTTTGTTTAAAAAAATCTTCTTTGCAAGAAACAATGGGCCAGAAAAACTGAAAAATATGTGTAAGCTTCCTGGAATAGAGTAGATTCTAAAATGACCCCTGGGTGTAGGACGGCCGGGGTCACCATAGCAAATAAAGTTTTATATTAAAAGATATAGGGGAAAACCCTTAAAATCTTTTTCTGAAGAACCATTTATATTTGGCCAAAAAAGTTTTGTTGTATTGTAGATTCTAAATTAATAAAATCATGACGCTAGGGTTTAGTGCGGGGCCACAATAGGGAATCCAAGTTTTACATTAAAAGATATTGGGAAAATCTTCTAAAGAACCACTAGACCAAAAAAAGATGAAACTTATGCGGAAGTATCCTTGAGTAGTGGAACGCAAATTCACATATTCTTTTTTTGCGAATTTTGTTGGGTTGGAGTCATGATATTGATCAGTGGGTTGGAGTCAGGGTATTGATAAGTAAATTTGAGTCAGTGACTCGATCAATAGATAAAAGCCATGGTATTGATCAGTGGATTGGTGTCAGGGTATTGATCAGTCGAATAGAGTGAGAGTATTGACCAGTCAATTTGAATCAGGGTTTTGATCAGTGGATTATAAAGTCGGGGTATTGATCATTCGATTGTAGCAGGGCATTGGTTGTTATTCATAATAGTTTCTTTCAATTATTAATTTAAATCAAAAGTATAATTAATCAATCTTTAAATTTTATGCCCCTCCTTCAAAGAAGAGAGGGCACATTGTTTTGCTGCTGTCTGTCGGTTGATCAAATCGTCGATCTGTATATCGGTCCACCAAGTTTCCTTTCGTTTTCTTAAAACCGTTCCACAATTCTACTGAAATGAGTTTTATCTAGATCGAGTTATGTTTCAGGTACGATCCAGTAATTTGTGACAGAGTTATGTCCCGTAGACTAAGAAAAATTACAATTATTTGGGAAGGGGGGATAAGCGTTTTACAAACATCACTTGGTATTGAAAGGTAACTAAACACTCTGTCTTAAGGTCAAGATCTAGCAAATGTCTTGAGAGTAACCTTTTGGTGTAAGATCAATTTTGGCGTCATAATCACTTTTAGCTTTCTTTTTCCCTTACTCTATTACGACTCTAATAGAATTATGTAGTAAAGAAAGTGTTTTCATGGAATGCAATTTGAAACCACATGAAAAGTTGTCCCGATTATTGGAGATGCAAATCAAATGAAAATTACCGTTTTCTGAAAGACTGTAGACAATGTGGATACATTTTCTTTGAAAAAAACCCATATTTATAGCTGCAGAGCTGTAGCTCTCTGCTTCAAAAAAATTTGGACAGATAAAGCAGAGAGCTACAGATCCATGCGTTGTAAAAAACCTCCGATTTACACCGACGATTTCTTGTCGCTCACTATGGGGAGTGTATTTTATACTTTCCCCAGCTGTAGAAATAATTTAAAATGGTATTTAATGATTCATCATACATTCAAATTCAATTCCTGATCATTTTCTTACATCTCAACTCTAACAAATGGCTGTTTTTGGTTACGGACGTCGAAATGGAACTCTTTAACCAACATTACAAAACTATACACAGGACTGTGTCGGACCGTTAAAATGTAAAGAAAGTATGTCAAATATAAGAGTTAAATATGTGAATTATTATAGGAAACTATTCTTAAGTCCGGAGAAAGCTTAAACAACTAAAATAGCGACAAAAAATCGTCGGCGTAAATCAAATGTTTTTACAACGCATGGATCTGTAGCTCTCTGCTTTATCTGCCCGAATTTTTACAAGCAAAGAGCTACAGTTCTGCAGCTATCATATAAATGGCTGGTTTTCTAAATTTTTCATTGGAAATGATAGTTTAAAATATGATTTTACATCTTGTTTATCTACATTTATACCCCGAAACAGCTAAAGTTATAAAACAGCATTAAGGATAAATAACTCAAACAAACTTTTTTTCAGAAATCAGCAATATTTATCATAGATTTACATTTAAATTAGTAGCTTTAATAATGTATACCAAGTATGGTGACCGAATTTTGTAAGAATTTGTCATAAGGTTAAAATTTGATGCAAAATTTTGTATGGAAGTATATAGAAGGCAAAACAAAAGCTTAAGGATATCCGATATTCAGCCAGGAAGGATAACTCCAAAAATTGATATTTAAATTGAAATGCACCAAAATGAAGCTTAAAAATTAAATTTTTTCAAGCAACAATTTTCATTTTATTTATCTTTATAAGATTCGAGCTCTAAGTTTTATAAACGGTCCTATAAAAGTTGAAATTTGTACCCTATGAAAGGAGAAAAAATTAATACAGTTTTAGAGAAATAAGATTTTCTTGAATCCAGCCATATATATCAATGCTTTTTAGCATGATATGAAATGAAAAGTGATTTGTGATGTCTTGCAATGATAACAAAAGCCTTTTACATTATGTATTATAGAATACATGATGGAAATAGAAGACAAACAATACCAAATAAGTATAAAAATCATGACAATTTCTCTGAATGCCTGGATACCTATCATTTTAACCTAAAATATATTTGTTGATCAATTTGCAATAAGAAAATGCATTGCTGATATTTCAATTTGCTTTTTCTGCAAAAAGCAAATTGGAGATTTGACAATTTTCCCTATATAATATGATTAACTTTAATTATTAAATTTAAAGAAATACTGTGGATAAATTTACATAACTAAGTGGATTCAGAGATACTTTTATGAGTATGTTTGATTACTCACTGCTAATTTTATAAACCTGAGGATCGGACAACCTTAAATCTAAGCACCAAGGAAAACCAACGATTTCTTAATATTTCAGGGATTTATTATTTATGTCATTTCAAATCAAAATCAATCAAAAAATAAATATTAATCCATGCATTAAGTTTTTTGTTTGTGATAAGTACCCTTAAAAACAATTATTCCTTAAATTTGATATTTCTTTAGGCACCTTTCATTTATTTGACCTTGACCTTAATTAATATCTCTTCAGTGAATTGCGGATTTGAAACGACTGAGGATTGTTTCTTCGAAAACAGCCAGCCTTCACAGCGTCGCAAAAGAACAACACAGGAAATTTTGCTCGCCGATAATTTTGACTGGATATTTGGAAAATCAGTGAGTAAATTTCATACTAATGTTTACTTTAATGTTTGAAGAAAAAATATAACATCTGCAAAACAAGCTAAAAGGACAATATGTGAATTGATCCGCCGAAATACGGCTGAAATATTGCCGACAATATTTAATCAATCAATCGATCAAGCTATTAAGCATTTATTGATGTTTTTAACGTTCTTTAGACCAATGTATGTTACACATATAAGAGGCAAAAGACACATTTCATATAGCATTACTGTAAAATGGATATTTTAATGACCATTTTAAAGGCAAACATTTTGCGATTTCCATTCAACAAAACGTTCACTTTGGGCTCATTTTTGCGGAACTTAAAGCATTTAAAATATATTACCCTACTTAGAAACTATTTTGATTGAAGAAATTGCAAAAATGATTCCTTTACAAACATTTAAACAGGGTCCAACACCCTCCTCCAGAACGGGTCCCAGCAGCGCTATAGTAGGTGTCAGATATGCCTACATAGAAGCATCAAGTCCACGAGCATCTGGTGAAAGGGCAGTCATTCGAACAACCAACACATTTAGAGGTAAATTTCAAGTTTTTTTTTAATAATACATTCCTAATTAAGATTGTTTTTCCCTATTGTTTTGTACTAAGGACAAAGTATGTAACGGCCGAATCTGGCCTTTTACATGTATTTGATGTAGAAATCAATACACTTGTACTGCTTAAACCGAGAAACTTGCTTGTTTTAAAACCACCATTTATTTTGATTCAAGGCTTACATGAAGGTAAAGAGAGGGTGCCGAAGTTGGACGTTTTTACCGAATTTTCTTTTTTGTTGTGGAATTTCGTCATATTTTGTGATACGTTATTCTTAAAACAAGCAAGTGAACGGTAGCTTTAAAAAATATATATATTGACAGACCGGAGAGCTACAGTGCCACCAATTGAGAAAAAAAACCTGTATTAATGTATTTATTGCGAAAAAAATCACTCTTTCTCGATTAATTTTTCTATATTGTTTAAAGTGTCATCTCGAAATATTGCTAACCGTGTATTCCTAACATATTCTTTTACTGTTTCCTTAACAAAAACATTCTAAATAATTGTTTTAAATAGCCCTCAAAACCCTGAGATTGAGTTCATCGAAAATTTTGCTTATTTAAACTGCCATTTTGGTTTCAAAGACAATACGGTGATACAAGGCAATATGTAATAAACTGGCATTATTACATTTTGCGTTATTACATTTTGCATGGATTTCAATTGTAGTAATTCATACCTTCGTCTCCAATATTTATAATGGCATAGTGCATGTTTTGCTTTGAGAGAAGTCGTTCTAAGTGTCAGATCAAAAAGTCAAAAAGTGAAGTAGGAGGTGCACAATGTCAACTTTTAGCTACAGTGCTAACCTCTTTAAAAAATTTTCTCATACTGTACAGTAAAACCATTTTTGGAATTTATAGTGCAACACAGGTGGTGCAGACTTCAAGTAGTAGCCTCAGTACCACTCAGGGTTTTCTCAGTACAACTCAGTACTTCCTCTGGGTTTTGTTGGATTCTCAGGTTTTTTTTACTCACGTTAACTAAAGACTCAAGTCAGCTATTCTGAAAAAAAAAATTTCAGTAGTCTGTCGTCGTTTTGTCATTGTAAACTTTTCACATATTCATCTTCTTCTTAAGAACCACATGTCCATTTTCAACCAAACTTGCAACAAAGTATTCTTTCAATTAGTTGAAAGGGATTAAGTTTTGTACATTTAAAGGGCCACACCCTCTTCCAAAGGGGGAGGGGGGTAATTATGAATAAGTAAAAAAAAAATAATGGCATCTTTTAAAAATCGTCTTCTCAAAAACCACTGGGCCAGGAAAAAGGTGGCCTCAATGGCTGATCAAAGTTCAACGTAAGAATTTATAGGAAAATTCTACTCCTCAAGAACAGCAAAGTCATGATTACTGATATTTATATTGAAGCATCCTTAGTTGTGTAGATTCAAGTTTGTTCGAAACATGATCAGCAGGGGATAGGGTGAGTGAAAAAGAGGATCAATTTTTAACAGAGGAATGTATAAAATAATCTTTAAAAATCCTCTCATAAAGAGCGAAGCCATTGGTCATATTTTTATTGCAAGCATCTACAGGTGCTGTAGATTAAAGTTTGTTCAAAACATGACCCTTGAGGTAGGCTTGGGCCACAATAGATGCTCCGAGTTTTACATAGGAATATATAGGAAAATTTTCAAAAATTTTCTTCTCGCGAACAGCGAAAGAATTATTAGTCATATTTATATGTATGCATTTGCAGGTGGTACAGATTCAAGTTTGTACAAATCATTACCCCGGGATATGGTGGGGCAAGAATGGACAATGAAATGTTCACATAGAATATGTATGAAAAAATCTTTTCAGGAACATCAAAGCCATGGTTGGTCATATTTAAATAAAAGCATAATCAGGTGAAGTTGATTCTAGTTTGTTCAAAAGATGACTCCCGTTAGGGGTGGGCCTCAATGGACAATTAATGTTTAGCATAGGAATATATAGAAAAAAAATATTTTAGAATATTCTTCTTGAGAACACAAAGCCATGATGTTCATATCCATATGAATGCATCCACAAGTAGTTTAGTTCACGTTTGTTCAAATCATGACCCCTGGGGTAGGGTGGAGCCATAATGATGCGTATATCATATGATTGTATTTACATACGATTCTCTGCCCTGCATATGAGAATCATATGTAAATTTTTGACAGTTTTCATATGAGAAACATATGAAACCAATCATATAAGAATCATATGATACTCATATGAGAATCATACGTGGCTAGGTTGCCTGTGTATATCAAAGACCGTGGGTCTACATATTTCTAAATTTTAGAAATTTATCATTAATTTAATCTTATCATAAATTGTTGATAAATGACAAAATTCAAAGCATAAATTTATTTTAAGACTTTGTACCTCCCCCTCCAGATACTTTTGACCCAGGGGATCAGAAATTAACCATTTTGGAAAAGGCAGCTTTCTTTATCACAAATACTTACTTAGATCATTGTCATAATACCGGTACTTAGGAGCAAAGGAAAAGATTTTCCATGAATTCATACATTTTCATCATATAAACATTAGTGCCACGTCTTAACACAAGAAGGTTTGACCCAGGGGCCCTGAAATTCTCATATCGTAGAGGCATCCTTCCTACTCATAACTATATACAGGGTTAACTGCTTTAATACCCAGACACAGAAAGAAGATTTTCAAAGAAACAATTCATGTAAACTATATGATCTTTATAGCCTCGCCCTAGGACTAAAACCTCTGAGCCTTGGGCCATGAAATTCACAATTTTGGAATAGGCAGCCATATACATGTACAGCATACATGTAACTCTGCACTTCGTTAGTTTATTTAAAACCCATGAGCAGAGAAGAAGAATTTCAAAGAGTTAATGCATTTTCACTATATAATCTACCACAGGGGGCAGGGACTATGAAATTCACAATTTTGTTCCCGTAGGCCTTCACCCTTAGATGCTATATGCCACAGTTGCTTGAAATTGGTTCAGTGGTTTCATAGAAATATTCAATTGTTAATGCACGAAGGAGGACGATGGACAAAACGAATATCAATAGATGACTTGAAAATGGTAATGTGTATGATTATAATGTTGGTTTTATTTCAGAAACATTACAGTGCATCAGTTTTTATTATCACATGTTCGGTTCTGCTAGCGGCATGGGAACTTTGAATGTATATTACTCCAGTAGTTCAGGCCATGTGCAAAATATCTTTACAAAAAGTGGAAATCAAGGAGACCAGTGGTTGTTAGAAGCCGTGGAAATCCCACCGACAAGTGGACTAGTGGTAGGTCATCAAATGGATAATAAATATCGGAACAAGTCTTAACAATTGTTTAACCGGCATGATTTTTATATTTCTGAAATATTTTAAACAACAGATTTACATAGAAGGAATACGAGGAAAAAGTTATAAGAGTGATATCGCAATAGATGCCGTGACGGTCACAGAAGGGAACTGTGGTAAGTAGGAAAAAGAAGTCGGTCTTTAAGATATTTTAATTGTGTTGCTCTAGGTAACAAATCAGATGTCATTTGGCAAGAGATAAAACACAGGTACCTGTGGGCAAGACCTACCCCCCCTCTTTTGAAAGAACTTGTTTCCAATCCTTTTGTTTATACAATACGAGGGGTGAACAAAAAGTTCGCGAACTATCTCTATATCTACAAATCCACATTTCAGATTAAAATGAAATTGGTACACAAATAGCAATATGCTGAATAAAGATTTGCTTCTTGATTTAGGCGTCACAATGTGAAAATGACATCACTATGTAGGTCACGTGTGACGAAAATTGGTTATCTCACTCGTACTCGTTCAACAGACGACTGTAGAATTTACTTAAAATCCCTCGGAAGTAGCGTATAATTTGTCCACAAATTATTAAGATTAATGTCTTCCTATAAATTCAATCAATAATTGGACTGGCCGCGTAAATGAAGGAATGTAGATGGTTAAAAATGATACTTGTTTTGTTGCCAAGTGAAAGCAAGTTCGAAAAGAGATGTGTTCTTAATTAAGCAATTTGCAATTTACACCTTGAAAAATACTTCAATATTTCAACAATAATGTACTTATTAATATATTAAATACCCAAGAAATCGTTTATTTTAGATTTAAAACATATTAGATATGATAAAAAGGAAGCAACCTTCCTCTATCCTCCTTGCATAAATGTCTATCCCAAGACAGAACATTTGGGTTTTGATGTCTCTATGCTTATTTTTGGAAAGGAAATTATTATCCACCCATTCTGTTCCTGAGAGTTGACAATTTCTATTAAATAAAGTGTTTTTGTTATAAAAATTAACTTACAAAGAAGGAAGTATGAGAAATCTTTCAGCTTTTGTGACAGATCGCTACGAAGGGGGTCACGTGACTGCCTATGCCACGTGATTCGCACATGAGCATTACAATGGCAGATGTGCATTTAAATTGGAGAGGACAATTTAAAAATACAATCAACACTGAAACCAAATATCGTTTCTTTAATGGACGTTTTTCAAATAGTTTTTGATCTCGTAAAATATGTTCAAAGAAAAAAAACCCAACAACAATTATTCATATACACAATAGGTTAAAAAATTTAAAAACCCCTAAATAATCGCTCCATAAAACTAACCCACTATATATTATAAGAAAAAAGGGTATGCCACTACGGTTTGTTTACGTTGTACCCCCAATGGTCTTTATAGGTTTAAAACATGTATTTATTTTAAGTTAACCTACAATACAGATTCACCCTGCCTCTACATATATTTCTCTCTTAGTCCATACTCTCGGATTGAATCTGCACTTCGTAAGAATTTCACAATTTCTCATTAAACATTATTCCAATAAGACCGTTATAATTTCCTTAGGTGTTATATTTTGCAGTTAAGTGTGAAATTTTACGTTTCGTCTCGATTTAGTTGACGACTGCGCTCATGGAAAATTGAACACGCCTTCTAACCGCAAGCTTTACGGCAGGGACATTCTTCCTATCTTACAACCCTGATTGGTTGCTCGAGCAGCAGACTATTTCCGTGTCAATATTGATAATATGGGGTGACCACTCACGTGAACTGTTTACGCTGGATGCATCTGATGGAAGATTTTGTGGTGCATCGCAAAACTTCACACATATCTGCAAAAAATAATAAAATCCACCTGTGTTGTCACTCCTCTGTTTATGGTGGCTTATTACACACACAGTTTATTTGAGATTTCAGTATTGCATCACTTATAATATACATGTCAAATATCCAGATAAAGGTATTCATATCATAAATATTTTTAGCGAATTTTTAAACTTTTCTTCTAGTTGTAGTTAAAGGTTTTTTTTTCAAGTTTATCAAAAGGGTCTATTCTTTAAAACTCATTGGCCTTGGCCCCTTGCGGGCCTCATTTCCATTACATTTAAGGATCATTAAGGTACATTACCCCTTACGTATTATAGGTTGCACTGCCAACCCATGCCACTAACAAAACGCTTTAACAAAATACTTACGAAACACTCTAACAAACTACTAACAAATCATAAGCAACAAATCATCAATAAACCACTAAATTTGAATTTTTAAGAGAGATATAATTATTAAGCCATTGACCACTTCTCCAATCACATACATTTTCACAGAATTTTCAAGTATAATTATAATTCATCATTTAATCCAGTGCTTAAAACTGATATAAGCTGGGTAGTATATGGATTAAAGGTCAATCTTAACATGAACAAAACCCCAATAAAAACAGGCCATATATGTACAGATCCACATTCACAGATTGAAGGTTACTGTAGTCCAGCATAAAAGAACTTTATGTCATGCAATAAATAAATACCTCTGTTATATCCAGATTCATCCTGATTATGCTTTTTCCAATCAGGGATCAATATACATGTATATACTTTACATGTCCCTTCATCAATCTCTATGTTTCTCTCTGACCTAGTGCTGGTGGTTTGAAAATTGGCGCAAAACTAGTAACACAGGATGAAAATAGATAAGTTGTTCTTGGAAGATTTCACTGCACCTAGATAATTCAACCCTAAACATGTCTATTAATCAAATGAAATGCTAACAAAATATTACTTTGATGCAGACAAGTATAATGAAACACTTTCAAAATGCAATTTCATTCTGCAGAGTGTAAAGAAACATTAATAAAACACCAACAATGTAATGAAACATTAACAAAATACCATGTCACTCCATCCTGTAAAGTCTTGCATTGATGTTTCATTAAATGCAACACTTTCAAAACATACTAAGAAAATATAAAAGTATGATTTGTTAGTGTTTTGAAGATATTTTGAAAGTATTTTGTTAGATTTCTTTTTCATTTGGGTGAATGGCGGGACGTGTACCAGTAGCGGCAGTGGGAGCGGATATTCATGTCTCTGTGCCACAGGGTAAGGGGGAACCAACTGTGACAATATAGGTATCACACCGGTAATTGACCAATCAAAACGAACTTATTCAAATGTAGGTCCATATATATAGAATTAATTTTCTTTTCTTTTGAGGCGTTTTTCTATTTTCTTCCATGCCATTTTTACAACTTTGGTACCTGTGCCTAGTAAATTTTATGTACTTTGTGAATAAAGAAAGGTTTTGGACAGGAACTATTTTTTTCATGCCATAGGAGGCTACTTCCTGTAGTGCACTCGAGGTGTTTATAAACACAGTGAAAACACGTGGATTTGAGGGTAGCCCTGTTTGCAGATGGAAAAAGTCCGAAAATGCCGTGTGGGTACCCTGTTTTTTGGTGTCAGCTAATGTGACAGGTAATGTTTAACACCTTCTGCTAAATATTTTTTCATGTAAACAAATACCTGATTTTTAACGATTTTTTATTCTATATAGAATTATATAGTGAAAACAATTACCGGTGTGATACCTTGAAGGTGATTGTGAAAAATCATTTTAATCCTTATTAAAGACATTTTTCATTTTTAAAAGACATATTTCAACAAAATATGTGAT